CACATCAGCCTCACGGTTTCCTTCAAAGGGCCGAATGTAATTCTAGGACTGTAGAAATGTAACTACTCCTTAACTAGGGGCAAGGAGCTCAGTGCTGCCTCCGGGTAGAAACAAGGTGCTGGGCAGATAAAACAAGGTGGAGGTCCGGATTTGGTCCATGGGCCTTGTGTTTGCCACCTGTGGTTTAGATGGAATGGACATAATCCTATTTTTTTTAAAAAAATAACTACAAAACAAACTACCAAAACCAACAGGAGAAATACCAAAATCCCTGTAGTTCTGTGTCAGACAAATTGAACTTGTCATCTAAAACCACGCCACAGAGAAACCCAAGGCCCAGGTGGTTGCATCTTGGAATTCCACCAAATACAAGTCCTCGCCGTGTATCCCGTCTTGCCCAGCAAAACCCTGACACCGAAGCCTGCCAGGACCCAGTTCCGAAAAGTGAACAAACACAGACGTGAACATTCAAACTGAATGTTAGCAATCCGAATCCACAAACATAACCTTAATACCCTTCTAACGAAGGTAAGGTGTTAAATACATTGGGATATGCTAATGCAATGGAGCACTGTTCAGTGATGACATGGATGACTCATCAACGTAATACTGAAAAAAACATACACAAAATAATACCCACTCCATGTAGACTATTTACATAAAGTCCAGAAACCAAACTGATCAGTGGTGTTGTAATTAAATCTATCAAGAAGGTGAAGGGTAGTGACTAGAAGAGAGTATTAGGGGCTTCTGTGGTGCAGGTAGTGCTCTCCTCCATGATTTGGGCGCTGGCTACGTGTATATTTTCATTTTATGTAGGTTATACTTCCATAAATATCTTTTAAAAGAAATCGCTTGGTCTGGGCAGCAGCAGCAGGTCCGTCGAGGCCAGCCTGAACCGGGCTGTTCGGAAAGGAACACTTTCCATCAGTCAGCATGGGACAGTGCCTGTTCTGCAGCTCAGGAATGTATGTACTTGGAATACTGAATCTGTAGACCTCAAAAAGTTCTTGTCTTTCAAAGCAGGTAAGATAGGTTTCCATGTCCACAGTTCGAACGTTTTCATAAAGGTTCGCATTGTTTTTGGATGTCATTAGGAGATAGTGTTGAAACCTTAATTTATCTCCGGATGAACACTGCTTTAGCAATGCTTCACTTTTGTTTCAAAAGTAGTTCATAGGCAAGAGGAGGGAAAGAGCTAAACACAAAAGGATATGCAATAAAAACATTGTAAGTTTTCACTGAGAGATTTGTAAAGCCTTGTGTTCAGTTAAAAACTTGACATTTAGCCCTGGCTGGCGTAGGTCAGTGGATTGAGCATGAGCTGTGAACCAAAGCATCACAGGTTTCATTCCCAGTCAGGGCACATGTCTGGGTTGCAGGCCACGGCCCCCTGCAACCGCACATTGATGTTTCTCTTTCTCTCTCTTTCTCCCTTCCCTCTCTAAAAATAAATAAATAAAATCTTTTAAAAAAATGACATTTTTGGGTATTCTCTTTCAAGCTCTGCCCAGTGGCAGTAACTATTCTTACATCACCAGGTGAAGAAAAAATTACATAAATTGATTAGTTCTTGCGCTTACTGACATTAGCATTTCATTAATGAGATTGTGCCTCTGTTTTGGGTGCTTAAATGAAGACTGGTAAAATGCAATATAATATAAGCTGTTCAGTAGAACCAAAAATGATTGCCACACTTGTATTTTACCTTTTTAATGCTGAAAACTGGAGTTCATGCAGAAGAGGGGAGTGGTGGGGATTTCCAAGGTGAGGTGCACACTAAACATGTAAAAGGGTTTTTTTTTTTAATAAACCTGTAATTCCTGTGTTTGTGCCATGCTTTGTTTTAGCCCAGTGCAAATAACTCATGATCCGTGGAGTACTCTTTATGAAACTGAAAACTCATAACTTCAAACAATAAATACTACCGTTGGAAATGTATTTTGCAGTTATCACACATAACCAAATTTAATTACACATGTGCTCATAAGTGTGGCTGGGTTTTTCATCGTAAGTAACATTTAAACTAGTTTCCCTAAAGGACAGGTTTAGCTACTGTGTGTTCATCCTTCAGTTCAGGGAGAAAAACTAATTTTTTAAAGTTGAGCTTTTTTAAAAAAGGTAGATTTAATATGTTGACACAGGCATTCTGTTTCTCCAAGTGCTTCTAAAACCGGCGCGCTCACCTCTGGGGCTTTCCAAGCAGAAGTTTTAAATCCCCTGATCTTTTTTTAACAGAGAAGGGGGTGATGTTGGAAGTGTGCCAGGAGCAGGCCGTGGCATTTTCACGAAGGGCCACGGTGAGCGTCCAGTTCCCGTTAGCGAAGGCACGGCCGCGCCTACCTCTCCTCCGCGCGCCAGGTGAAGGCCGGCCGGCTCACCGCACATCCTGCCGCCCGCGCACACAACCGCCCCTTCCCTTCTTTCGTTCGCCGAGTTTTCCCCCCTGGGCCGTTTACACAGCTGCCCGTTAAAATGCGAAAGTACTTTTTCCTCCATGCAAGTGAAATTTAGAAACATCAAGAGCAAAAAATTAGTAGTTTCTCCTTTCCCGTCTGCAACGCACCTGATACTGAAATGTCTGGTGTTTCGTGAGGCAAGACGCACGCCGCAGAGCCAGACAGCCAGCCAGGGCCTGCCTCCCAGCCCTGCCGCCGACTGCCAGGCGGCCCTGGGCAGGCCGCTCGCCTCTGCGCCTCAGTTTCCTCCTGTGTACAATGGGACTCAAGCAGTATACCTTGCGAGGCCACTGTAAGGATGAAATGAACTTATAAGTGTGCCAATAGAGTTTACTATTATGACTGTCCTTCCAGAAATTTCTATTCATGACTACTGTTCCCAAGCATGGGGCGATATTATTCTGTGACTCGCTGCTTCTACTCAATATGCAGGGTTGGGCAAACGTAGGTTTACAGTTGTATGTGAACAGTTTATTCTTGTTATTAATTATATATATATTATTTGTGTTGTTATTATTTTATATCCCTGCAATTTCCCTTTAGGTAATGATGGCTTGTAATTTAACCTACTTTTGCCCTCTGCATCCTTCCCAAACTACTTAACCTTCTTTCAATAGCTGCACTGTAGTCTCTGTTATGAGAGACCACATTTTCCCACCATTTCTATATTAACAAACATTCACGTTTTTCCTTGTGTGGCTTTCCAGAAATGCTAAGGTATTTTAGATTTCAAGGTATGGAATTGCTCTGTCAAAGGAGATGGGCACGTAGAACGTTTCTCATCAACACCACCAGACTGCCTTCCAAAATGCGCCACAGCAAGTGGGCAGTGTGTGCCCCAGGCTGCACGGCGCGGAGTTACTTCACAAAGAGCAGCAGGCAGTGTGACCCACGCGGCACCAGGTGGGGGGCGGGGGCGGAGGAGTCCAAGGTTCTCACAGGCCCAGTGAAGTGGCAGAATTTTATCTGAAGGTAGACTGTGATAATTTATAGGTGCAGACTTATTATAATCCTGGCGCTAAAAACAAAAACAAACAAACAAACAAAAAAACAAGGAGGTATATAAGATGACAGCGAAGAGAGAATGGAATGCTAAAAAATTCTCCATCGGAAAGATGAAAAAAGGAACAAAGACGGAACAGGAACAAGTAGCAAGACAGACTGAAACTTCGCCGCATCCACAGTCGCAGGGAATGTGAATGGTCCCAGCAGGGCAAAGGCAGAGCAGGTCACACTGAGTACAATGAAAAAACAAGACCAGTTACCTGCCGCCACTTTAGGGCAGGCGTAGGCAACAAAGTGACGGGCCGAGAAGTCCAGGGTGCCGCTCGTGAGAACGGAGCAGTGGCTGTATAACAGACCAATCTGGGCTTCAGAAACATGGGGGTGGGGGGTGGGGGCTGGGAACAACTACAAGGAAAAATGGGCGGATCCACGACCATTGTTGGAAACTTCCAGTTTTCTCAGGGCAGAAAAATCAATGTGGGTATTTCAACCAATTTAACCTACATGACATTTATGAACCACGTCACCCTTCAACAGGGAAAGCAGTGTCCCCAAGCGCTCAGGGACTGTTGGTTCACTAAGATACGCTGAGTGCTGAGCCGGTAAGGTGAGGCATGTAGGTAGGTAGGTAGACAGACCTGGCACTTCGGGAATTCAATGCATCCTGTTGACATGAGACAAGTATTTTCACTCCAAAAGTTAACTGTACAAATGAGTGGGCGTGCGCGTGCGTCCAGCATCGGCCTGGACCGTGAGCGAGGACACACTCCTAAGGAAGGAATTACACGTGCCCCGCACGGCAGGTGCTGTGTCCCAGACACCCGCTTCGTGGCCAGGAAAGAGGCCAAGCCAAGACGAGGGCCTTAACCAGGGCGGAGACGGGGCAGGCAGGGCACCTGGAGCAGAGAACGTGGCCAGGGACTTTGAAGGAGGATTTCAGGAAGCATGCTGTACGGATACCGTGGTGATCTTTTCGCTCAGTCCACGAAGACCCTCTTCTCGTTAATTCCCGCCGCGGGGAGGCCCCGCCTGGAAGCCCTGAGCGTGCGGGCTCGAGGCGGACGGGGCGGGGGCCGGGGCCAGGCTGCCGGCTGCCTCCCCCCGACCGGGGAAGCCTGGGGCGCAGCAGGCTGGCCCGTATCTATGAACTCAAGAGACACCCCGGTCAGGGGGCAGGCAAACCGCGTGCAAAGTGAAGAGCCAAGGGGAGGGACCTGCAGGGCCAAGTCCCGCGCCCCCTGCGGCGGCGGACGTAGATGGTCCCGCTGCCCTCACCCCTGGATGCCCCGGTCCCTCCGTACACCCAGGCGGCAGACGCTGAGTGGGCCGCCGCTCCACGCCACGCGCCAAGGCACCACCTGGCGGGCACGGCCCGGCCGGAAGGGGGCGCCGCGAGGGCGGGAGGGGACAGGTGCGCGGGCAGGGCGGGGCTCGGCGCCGGGGCGGAGCGGGCGGATCCGAGGCCCCAGGCAGCCTGTCGCGCGGTCCCGGCCGCAGAGGCCGCAGAGCGCGGCGCCCGGCCCGCTACTCCGCGCCATGGCCCCGCGCGCCCGCCGGCGCCGCGCGCTGCCCGCGCTGCTCGCGCTCTGTGCGCTCCTCGGCTCGCTGCAGGTAAGGAGGACGCCCGCGCCCCGCGCCTTCTCGGGAGCTGGGGAGGCGAGGGGGCGCGGGGGCTGCGAGACCAGAGGCGAGAGCTGAGGATTTGGAGACAGAAACGGCGCAATCCTGGGGAGGAGGTTACGCGGGTCGGACGGTGGAGAGAGGGAGAAGGCGAGTGAATGGGCTATTGGGGGCCTGCGGGACCCCAGCACGCGACGCGGGCGCTTGCTCGGAAAAGCCCACTTGCTGTCGGGCTTTCATGTCATTCATTCCCCCGACGTTTCTGGGGCACCGAAGGTCCCACGCACAGTCGCCGTGCGTAGACGCAGCCCCTTCCCACGCGAGCAGAATACGCGAGGGAGAAGCCCGAGGCGCAGACCACACCCACGTTAGGGAAGCGCTCCTAAATCGGGCGCTGGGCCGTTCCGAGTCCCCCCGGGAGCGCCGGGTCGGTCCCTCCCCCTGGGCGTCGGTCGCGCCATCCTCAGTTTCCCTGCTCGTCTGAAGGCTAGAGCCGCGCTCGCCGCGCGTGCCGCCGAAGCGAACTGGGCAGTTTCTGCAGAAAAGCCGACCCTCTCTCCCCGCTTTCTCCTGGCTCCCTGGCCCTCTCCGACTTCCCCCCACACGCAGGTGAAGGTCCACCTTTTCAGGTTCTGACCCCGAATAACTTTAGACTCACTAGTCCTCAGAACCCCTCGGGGACGTTAGGACAAAATACTGTTTGCGGTGGGAGAAACCAAGGCGCACGCGGGGCTTCCAGCCCGTGGGGGGAGCCAGAAACGGCCCTGCGGTCCCGGAGCTCAGTCGGATGGGGCTGGGACGCGCAGGCACCGCGGGGCCGTGGTTCGTGCCACTGGTGCCAGGCCCTCCCCCCCGCCCCGCCCCAGTGTCTGGCGGAGGGTTTCAGAGTGCTGGGGGTGCCCCCAAATAAACTCCTTCTCAGTGTGTCGCGGTCCTCCGGGAGAAACGTCCTCTACAGGATCGCCCAGCCCAGTTGCATGTAAATAAAGTCAGTTACTGGTTTTCTGCCTTCGCGGAGGGGCGCTCTCGGGCGCAAGCCCCACACCCGGAGCGCTACGAAAACCTTGTCGGCTTGGGCATTCCTCGGAAGGAAGCGTGAGGGGGTGGGGGGGGCGCTTTCCTTGGTTTCGGCAGTTTCAGATTTCCCCTCTCTGGAATCGGCTGAGGCTTTGTGGCACCCCGGCGCAGAAGGGCTCAGAGCCCCGTGCGGACTCGGAGTGGCATTTGCAGAACCAGCTGGTTTTGGGTGAAGACGCGGGGGGAAAGCCAGCCTGGGCCTCAGGCCGTGACAAAAATAGCACGGGTGTGCTCGAGCCTGGAGCAGAAAATGCTCGCGGGGATCCCGGCTCCGTCCTCGCTCCTGGCGTGGGTCACTCAGAACGGCTGAGGGAGGAGTTTAGTAGGTCGGGCAGGGCGCTACCGTGTTTGAATTAAAAAAAAATCGGGGATCCCACGAACAGCTAGCCGCTGGTGGAAAACCTGCCAGCTACACGGATTTAAAAAGCATCTCACATTTTATTACAAAACTACCCACATATGCATAAAATGCAGCCGGTTGTAGTAGTAACAGCAAATGCTGTCAAAACAAGGTTGTTTTTCAGACAGATCTTTCAATAAGGGCTGTTTCCCCTCCCTTTCCCTTTTGGCCACTTGAGTTGCATGCATTTTTAAATCGTACCTCAACGGAAAACAGGCAAATGATACGGGCTTCTAATCGAATGATATCCTTTATGCCTAACCGTGACAATGGAAATCCAGCATCAACCCCCAAAGACACTGTGGTCACCAGGGCCCTGCGTGTTCAATTACTGCTTCTTTGGCCAACCTGTTAGTTAAAAAGAGAGAGAGAAAAAAAAGGAAGTGGGTTGGCTAGCCATCGGTGGTGGTCATCGGGCACGGGCAAGGCTGGGCACAGTGCTGTGCATGGTTGGGGGCGGGGCGTGGGTTTTGTAAAATAGTTGGCAAAAACATCTTCTAGAAAGTGCTTTATCTGCAACTATGGCACTTGGTTTCATTCACACTAATTCAATGGGTTTAAACTTACCTGGAAGGCTGGAAGTGTGGCCTTCGAAAACATCTCTGCGGTTCTCTCTCTGCCTGCCTGTCTTTGGGAGGGAATTTGTTCTCAGACAAAAGAAGAGTGTTTGCGTACAGATAAAAAAAAAATTATAAGTTTTTATGCTGATAGTTCTGTTGTTTCTTGCAAGTAAGAACATATAGAAGCACACTGTTTTCGATAAGGTAACTGGTTATATACACAACTGTGTTTATTCCCAGTGATCCCAGACCTAAGCGTACATTCATTCACACCCCGGCCAAATGTGTGGGGTGTAACACATTGGGCTGGTGAGAAACAAGACAGACATGGCTGTGTCCTCGCAAGGTCACACAGCACAGGGGAGAGGACAAGATGGGGGGGGGGGGCTCTGTAACAATAAGAGAGCGGCTGTGACAAGAGACCCAGGGAGGGTGGCGAGCCCGTGGGAGTGAGTGTAGCCAGAGGAATCAGGGAGGGCTTCAGGAGGGAGGTGTTTCTAAAGTGGGCTTTGGAGGATGGGTAGAAAATCAAGAGACGGTGCGATTCCAAGAGGCAGCTGAGGAAGAAAGCTTCCTAGTCTAGAGGATGGCAGGAATGGTTTAGGCTTAAAGGCAACTTGCCAAAAAAAAAAAAAAAACCCTCACAGTTTTATGACTTTACAGATAGCACAAAGCACTTAATTCAGGAAACCTCACCAACAGACAGGGCGTGAAACATTTATAGTTCTCGAGATAACTCTTGTATGGCCCTCATTGACGAGGGAAGGACACTAATCAGAAACAGGCTACAAGCGCCCTGGAGAGCCTGTGGGGAGACCCTGTAGAGGAATTCCCCCAGGGTGGGGCCCTGTCTGGGCTATAGGATCGGTGGGTGCCCAGCACCCCCATGGCCTGTCTCCCTATCTCCCTTCCCACCCTAGAGAGGAAGCTGGGTGCACGTTAACTCTTTGTTGGGAGAACCACACACACATAGATCATGGCATTTTGTCAGTAACAAATATTTCAAATGCCTCCCCCTTTATTTCCTTCCCACCAGTGCCCCCTCACCGCCCCCCCCAACCTGCCGCCGAAAATGGCCAGTCTGTAACATGAATGCATTCCCAGTGTTGATAAGGAAATAGGAGCCTACTTTTTTCAGTTATCTACCAGAAACTGTCACACCAGGAAAACTGAAACAATAAAGGTGAATCTTGGAAGGTCAGTAAATCGATATTTTATGAGGCCACAGAAAGGGGAGTTCCAAGCCAGGGTCTCCTTTGCCGCGAGTGTTGTTTTAAGAAGGTGCTGCAGGAACTCTATCTGCCAGGTCAGTGTTAACATTTCCCCCGCTGTATTTTCCTATTTTTCAAGTTCATGGAAAAAAATACCCGTGTTTTTCCCACACTGTGTGTCCAGTGTCCTGGGAATGCTGGCTGAGCCGTTCTGGTGGCCGCCGTGGGTCTGCATCCGCCCCGGTGTCGTCAGCTCCACAGGTGGTGATCCACTTCCTAGGGCGTCCACCCTCTGGCCCTGCAGAAAATCCCGCGGGTCTGTCTCCCTGCAACATCCTGAACCCCACCCCCACCACCACCCTCCCGGAGCGCACAGCACCCCCACCCATCTCCATGCATGCAGAGCTGGCCCACACGGGACTCTGCCTGCGGTGACTTTCCCTCCCAGCACCTCTAGGTTCTCCACCTGGAGTGTAGGACGTCGTCCGCCTTGGCTGTGTCCCTGGGTTGCCGTGTGTGGGCCTCCCACAGGGCCCACTGCTAGGAAGACAGTTTGAGGTCAGCTCATCCCTTCTGCCCCAAATCACTGAGCCTGAAGAAACCAAGCTTGAGACAGTGAAACAGAAGACTTGGCCCGTTTGAAGCTCTGAGTGAGCTTTTGAGGTTGAGTGCGAGTGGGTGGCGAGCGAGACTACGCAGCGTCCCATATCTCTGTCCCCATTCTGAGAGCGGCCGTCAGTCAGTCTGCTTCCTGCCAGCGGCGCTCCCCACCCCGCAGGCCTCCCCCTGTCTCCGCCGGTTGTCCGGGACCTGGCTGGCGCTGCAGTTGTCACGGCAGCATCCGTCGCAGAGTGAAGCACTTTCTTTCTGAATGCGTGCTGGTAACTTCGTATCCGTGTTTGTTTTGTGGGCCACGGCTGACTTCCTGCGGGGCTTGACTTCTGTGGCCTGCCCCAGGTGGGGCATGGCCCCCAACCGTGAGAAATAACACGGAATTTGTTTATGTCAACAAAGTGAGTGCCTACTACACGTGGCACAGTCTGCGCCAGGCTGGGGAGCGCACAGTGTAGACACGTGCGGACAGTAGGATCTCAGGACGGGGCCTGTATGACTGGGGGCGTTTGCAGAGTAGGGTGCGTGCCCAGGACAAGGGGGTGCTTTAACCTGCACTGAAGTATCCAGAAAAATACCCCATTCTTCCGACTGCGCGGCCTCGTGCGTCTGAAGCACATAACAATGTGAGAAAGCAGCGTTGGGGCCGGGAGTTCAAGGTGGCGAGTGCTATGTCGGGTGGGGACACCGGCGGGGGCGTGGGGGGCGGTGCCTGACGGTGTGTTCAGGGATCTCCGACGAGGACAGCATCCTGGACTCCATGGGCCTGTGTGCAAGCAGAACAGTGGAGGTTTTATCTGGGTGTGTTGTGGGCTAAGGGGTTGGGGGGGCATGATTAGATTGTGCATCATGGGGAAGTGTCGGGGTGGGGGGGGTCCTCGGTGGGGGAGCAGTAAGGAGACCACTGCCCTGGTTGTGGAAGAGCTTAGTGAAGGCTCGAATCAGGTCAGCGCGGTGGCGAAAGGCCGGGTGGAGTGCAGGAGCCTTCACAGCCGCCGGCGGGGCTGTGCTGAGGCCGACAGTGCAGGGGCCAGAGGATGTGGGCTGGTGGGACCTACTGTTAAAAAAAAAAAAAAAACAGATGTGGTTGATGTCAGACCAAACAGCCGACGATTTGGATTGTTTCTTTTC